TTGACTCGGGTCCCGGGGACGGCGCCGGCGAGTCCCGCAGGGCTGGAAGGACTGATGTGCCGCGGCGTCGGGGTGCGCGGACCTGAGCTCGGGTGAGGCTCTTGGAAAGGGCAAGAAGACCGCGACGAGATGGAAGCGGAGGAGGCCTGCGCCCCCGGTGCGCCTGGTGCCCCCGGAGCCCAGGGAAGCCAGCGCGCGCCTGGCCCGAAGCTGCGCGTGTCCGGCCAGCTGCTGCCCGAGCTCTACACCTTCGTGTCGCGTGTTCTCTTCTACCTGGCGCCCGTCTACCTGGCGGGCTACCTGGGACTCAGCGTAACCTGGATGCTGCTGGGCGCGCTGCTGTGGATGTGGTGGCGCAGGAACCGCCGCGGGAAGCTCGGGCGCCTGGCGGCCGCCTTCGAATTCCTGGACAACGAACGCCAGTTCATCAGCCGCGAGTTGCGGGGCCAGCACCTGCCCGCCTGGGTGAGCCGGGCGGGGGTCGGGCGGGGCGGAGTGGGGCGGATGCCTTTCCAAGTTCGCGAGGAACCTGCCGTCCGCCGGGGAGCTGGGCGCGCAGCCCGGGGGAGGGCGGGCGGGAGTCCCGCGGCCCACACACCCCGTTTCCCACGGCGCCCGGCGCGCACAACCTAGGGCGGTGGCCGTCACCGCCACCTCCGGGCCGACTGCGGAGGGAGCAGGGAATTCTGGTTTTCAGTTAAGGGCCCAGAGAGAGTCTCGGGCGGGCCACAACCGAGAGAAAACAAGGGTGACTGGGACTCTGCAAAGTCACTCGGGACGTGACCACAGGGTTTTTCTTCCACCCGCCTGTGGACTCAAAAACGAACGCAGCGCGCAACACCGAGACGGACAGATGGAGCCGTAGCGGAGACGGCGGACTCTAGTTCAGTCCATTTCCAAGGATTGGTCTGTGACAAAACTACCCCCTCTCTGGTGCTGGGGGCTCCGGCTTTCTCAGATTTCTTCCAGATACACTCAGGCCCACAAGAGGAGAAGTCCAGAGGCCCCCAGACCCCTCATTTCCCCTGGCTTGCTGTGGCCTCTATTTTCAAATCCAGCTGGGCCCTAAGGTTCCCCTTACACCTTTCCATCTCAGGAGCCTCCAAAGTGGGGTTTGAGAAGAAAATATTAGAAAGGCCTATTTATATTTATTTTATCTTAATAAGAGAGAGGGAGAAATTAAGTCTTACTGTACTAGTTTGCTAGGGCTGCCATAACAAAGTACAATAGTCTGGGTGGCTTCAGCAACAGGAATTTACTTTCTCATAATTCTGGAGACCATTAAGTCTGAGATCAAGGTGTCCCCATGGCTGGTTTCTCTTTGAGGTCTCTCTCCTTGGCTTAAAGATGACTTCTTTTCTCCGTCTTCACATGATTTTCCCTATCTGTATATCTGTGTCCAAATTTCCTCTTCTTATAAGGACACCAGTCATATTGGATTAAGGCCCATCCTGATGGCCTCATTTTAACTTAATTACGTCTTTAAAAACTCTATCTCCAAATAGTCACATTCTGAGGTACTGGGGGTTAGGACATATGAATTTGGGGGGGATACAAGTTAGCCTATAACACTAATACTTAATATATGGATTGACGGTAAAGCTTTGTAAATAGGTTTACATATATTGGGGGTGAGGGGGACAAAGACTTTTACTGATAAGACTTTTACCAGGGTGCATAATGAACAGTTGTAACGACCACTTGTAGGGTAGGAGCCATAGGGTAGTGTTTGGGGCCTGTCTACCCCAGACCTTGTTCACACTGGTTGTTTTGTGGGGCCTGTGACTGAAAGGTGTGGACCCAGAGAGCAGGCCTCAATGGTGCACACACTTGCCCACTGTTGAGGGAGCCCAGGCTGCCTGTTGGAGTCCTGCTGTGACTCTACAGTGGCCTCAGCCCATGAGGGTGGGCCTAGAAGACCTTGCCAAGTAACAGCACTCCTTTTTTCCCCTTCCTGTATTAGGGAAGCCTCTAGACACTTAGTGGCATGCAAAAACAGTATTTCTGAAGTTGAGCCAAGAATCAGATCCTGTAAGGGGAGTGGACCTTAGGAGCAACATGAACCTAGCCAACAGGGAGCTCAGCCTGACCCAGCTGGACCTAGGGACACACAGAGAAAGGTGATGGTGTGACTCCTACCAAGAGGGCAGTTTTGGGCGGGAGACAGATGCATAACAGGTAGTTGCCATAGAGGTCCCAGGGAAGTTGGAGAAAGGATTGTGAACAGGGTCCAGGTGGGTTGGAGAACATCCTATCTGCTTTCCATATTAGATTGTCCCCAGACCATGGCTTCCCACCTCCTTGGCAGGGTCTTGGTCTTGCCCTCAGTCTGCGTTCTCCAGACTCCCCGACTGGCTTGGCTGGACAGTTTGGAGGGTCAGGGCCTGGATACTCTTCGGATTGAGGCAGTGGTGCTGCAAAGGGCATTCCAGGCCAAGGGAGGCTTATGAGCGCAGCATGGAGGCATGGCATGGCCACTCTGTGAGAGAGCCCTCTGCGTTGTCCTGGCTGATGTGTGTGGTAGGGGATGATGGGCAGGGCCAAGTGGAGGCAGGCTTGATGGAGGTTGGGCCTGGTTCTGAAGGCTGCAAGGAACCTGCACGAGGTTTTGAAAGGCCCTGCAGAAAGCAGCATAGAGGGACGCAGTCGGCTGGAGGAGACAACCAGTTGAGAAACTGATTTGAGCCAAGATGGTAGTAGTGCAACAGGGAGGAGGGAGGTGTGTGGGAGGGGGTTCTAGATGTTTGGTGGCCTCTAGAGTGGGGGAGAGGGAGGGATCCAGGGATCTTCCAGGACACTTTCTGGTTTGGAGAGCTGGGTGCCCCTTGCTGAGATTGGGATTCCAGAATGAGAAGCAAGTCTGTGGAGGCTGGATGTCTGTGTGAACACCTGTGAGGACATGCAAATAGGTGCACGTGTGGACTTTTGACCCGCCTCATGGTTTCCATGCTGCAGGATGATGGGAAAAGCGTGGAGCCTGCTGGCTGACTAGGAACTCATCCTGTTTGTGAAGGCAACAAGAAATGGGGCTCTGGGCGTGGGGGACAGCATGACCCTTGCCCAGGATTTTGGAGCGTGGATGAGTGGATGTCTTTGCTCTTGCATGCCAACACGTGGGCATGCCTTCCCTCTTTTGAGAACTGATTTCCTTGCATGAAAGAGGAGATGATGGCTTATGACCTCCTTTGGTATCAAATATCTTTACAAATTAACAGATGGCAAATCAACAGTGGGAGGGCTGAAGAAAAGCTTAGCGGGCTGAGGGCCTCCCGTGTGGTCACCACACTCAGGCTCACCTTGCACAGTCACACAAGTGTTCCCTGTACATGAGCACCTAGTCGGTGGGAACAGATATCCAGCCCACCCGCTGCTGTCAAGCTGTGTTCTACCTGGAAGGGACACCTTTTTCCAGTGTGTACCACATCCCTGTGAAGGGGTGGAGGCCAAGGCCAGTCTGAGCTGGAGCAGAGATGCCGTCCCTTTGGATCTGGCTGCTGTCGTCAGTCATTTCTCAGCCGCACACTTCCCCCTTGCCAGGTCCTAAGCTCCTTCTCACATGTTGCTTCACGCTGCCGCCTCCAGGTGATCACAGAAGTCGCTTTTCCTTCCTGAACCTGCTTCCCCACATGTACAAGAGGTTGTACTGGACAGCTTTTCAAAGTCATCTCAGCCCTGCTGTCTGATTTTTGGTCAAAGTTCATGGAAGATAGAGCTCAAAGGAAGGATTCTTCTGCTTTAAAAAGGGCCACGAGTAAAGAATCTGTGGGCCCCTTGTGTCTTTTGAAGGTGGCCCGGACACATGAAGAAGAAGGCAGAGGTGGTACCTGCTCACCCTCTGAACAGAGTGGCAGCTGCATGTGTACATGAAGGTGTTCCTCTGGCACAGTTTTTAAATGTATTTTTGAAGGAATTGAGAGCCACCTCAGTCAGCTGCCCTGTCAGGGGTGGGGACTGTGTACAGCAGAGTGACAAGCGTGGAGCCCTTGATATCACTCATTTAGCTGCAGGCCTCAGTAAACTGCTGACGCTGTCAGCTTCTGTTCGCGGTTGTGGTGAGTTGAGTGTTTGAGATGCAGCTTGTACAGAGCCCGGCACAAGTGAGCACATGGTGGGGGCTGTCACTCTGTGCTCCTCAATTTTCCAGGTCTCATAACTCTACTTTTCCTAATATGAAACTTTGGAGCAAGTGTCCCCACAGCAAAGGTGTTTTTCGGGGAGCAGGATGACAGCAGAGGGGTGGAGTACGTAGGAGGGCTGTGCAGGGCACTTCAGTGACACTCCATCCTGTGCCCCTGGCTCTTCCTGGCGCCTGCCCCTATGGGTTCATGGAGTTCCAGCTGTGAGGGCTTCCCTTCTGGTCTTCAGAGCCTGTCCTTCATGCCAGATCTGGGCTCTTCGAGACCCTTCTTGGGGTAACCTCTGCTGCTTCACTGCCCTGATCACGTCCCCTGGCGAGGGCCCCATTTGTGCACTCTGCAGCCTTCATTCTTGGATTTGTGCGCTGGCTCGGCCCTCCACTGCTCTGTGCATTTCCGGGTTATTCATTGAGCCACTGAGCAGTGCATCAACTGGATGATTGGTTGTTTATCAGATATTTATTTTGCCCCAGCCATGACTGGGCTGGTATGAGGAGGGAAGTTTGATGAAAGCCTCACCTGGCTCCAGGTCAGGTGGGATGTGTTTGGAGGATGAGGGCCAGTTGGTAGGAAAATAGCCTGAGGCAGGGTAGAGAGAAGAAAGAACTGTCAGAAAACTTGGCATTTTGTCTGTCTTGGTTTGGGGCCCGGCTTACTCTCCTGCCAGCTGATAACCATCAGTTGGCAGCTTTGTTAGGGACAGTTAACCCTTGGGTGTCTGCTGGCGGGGCAGTGCTGATGTGATGTGGTGGGCTGTGGACTTGGAGTCTGATGCTCATTCCCTGGGAGATCTTGAGAAGATCGCCTCCCTCTCTAGGCCTCTGATTCCTCTGAAAATAACAAAGTTGTGGGAGATGCTTCATAGAGTCATCGTAGCTGTAGGAGTCTGCCATTGTTAACCAGTCCCAAGCCAGCTCTTCTCTGGTGTCACCCACCCCACTGGACCCCATTCCTCAGCCTTCCATGCCTGCCCCTGTCTAACTGGGTGCGCTCTGGGGATGCCAGCTGAGGCAAGCACCAAAGAGAGGTGACCCATTCACACGAAGCAAGGGCATTCCCAGGCTCACGGCAGTGTGTCTAGTATTGTCCCCTCCAAACCTCCCCGCCAGCCATTCAGGCAGACAACCAGGGGCTGAGTGCTTTGCTTTCCTGGTGCTGAGAGTTTGACATTCTTTCCGTGGGTGGAGCAGCAATCGTTCTGGTGCCCAGGCTCACACGGTCTGTCCTGTACTGATCCTTCAGTTAATTAGAAGAGGTAAATGCAGTGCCAGCTCTGAGCTAGCCTGGGCACTCTCAAATTGGATCACAAAGCCTGATCTTTGGAGCCAG